ATGAGCGCGTGGGCCTCAGATAAGATTCTATTTGCCACCACAACCACTACAACCACTGCTGAATGGCCTTAGTTTCTGCTGCAGGCGCAGCGGGAAGCAGGAAAAACTGCGCTGATACCCGGGGGAACTTTTTCGTCTCACTTTACTTTGGCCCAGATATGCGAGGCGGTGGCGAAACGGTCCACGAAACGTGGCCGAATGTGTGGACAGTTATGAAGATTTGTGACATCGCCATGTGCACAGTTCAGGGCGAGGCGGAGTTTGAGGCGGAGCAGCGATACGAGGAGCGATAAGTTGGCCTGGCTGGGCAGAACCCCTCCTCGAGATAACCTTTATTGCTCTCAATCTATTTTGTGTAATGATTTTTACTCAGGCATACTACACGGGGATGTCAGTAAGGCTCTTTACTTTTAGTACTTTATTCGTCCTCTGATTTTGTAACTAAAAAACCCTTTAAGCCGTATTGCTGCCAGGGCTCACAGCATTTAAGGAGTAGTAGGACGTGAGTGGCACTCGACTTTGGCAGAGATTTGGAAACGATGGCTGATTTATTAAATGGAGCGGGACTTTAAAGTGTCCTTTCGGGCCCCAGGAGCCCGAGCCCAGTCCTTCAGTGGGATCGCCTTTCAGAGCGACGAGCGCTCTGCTCCAAAGCACATAATTTAGTGCCTGCAGTTGAGGTTCAGTTTCGCCAAAGCAGCTTTACCTATTTTGCATAATTTCCGCTATTCCCCGGCCGTCGCTGAGCCACAATGACAACGTCAACAGCAGCAGGAGCAGCAGCAACGGGGTTCCCCCCGCGCTGCGCGCTGCGTTTCGGCCACTCGGTGCATCCTTTTGGACATTAGCCTGCTGTTTAACATTTTATGTGCCGGCTGGAGTGGCAGGTGCAGGAGCGGCTCGTCAAGTTTGGCTCCGCTCGCCCTCCTCGAGATGCGAGCCGGGCTGGCTGACTGCTGTTGACACAGTTAAACGCCGGCCCATTTATTATGCGAATTTATTGTGCCACAGACAGGAAGTTGCCGAAACTTGCGTTCTGACCGCACGGGGCTCAAATATTTCCGCCCGAAATCCCCGGCTAACTCAATTAGGGTGTGTGCGCGAGGAGGGCCTGTGTGTGTACGTATCTCTGTGGGCTCAGGTGTGTACAAGTTTATGAACTTTGCAGCGCCAAGTGCCGCACACACTCTTACGCACACACACACAAGTGCACAGCGCACTCACACGAATGGGCTGCATGTTAGCCAAACACGCAACGCATTTTCGCACTCACGCAAATTACCAAATAAGCGACGTGTGAATTTGCGCCTGTATGTGTTCATGCCCCGCTGTGTGAGTATGCGTGTGTGCGTGTGGGGGTGGATGGCCATTCGCTAGTAGCGCTCAAAGTTTACCTTTGGTTTTTCGTGCAAATTTGATTTGGTTGCCGCTGTCTGCGCCAAGGAACTTTAACTTGCATTTCGGGCCCGCGCCGTGATTTTCGTGATTTTCAGTGCTCGCAGAGCTTTGTGTGCGTTCGCGGGCAGGTGCATAGTTAATTTGCACAACAATGCGCCGCTCCTGGGGAGTGCAGCATGCAGCATGCTGCTTCCCTGCCATTAAGTGGTGCAAAGAGCTGGTGTGGGACCGCTAACAGCTACTAAAAACTCAATTACCAGGCCCAGCCGCCCCATGTGTCTGCCTCCTCCAGCTCCCCAGCTCACCATCTCCCCAACTCCCCAACTCCACGCCTGTCGCCTGTTTAGGGTACTTGCAATGTACCGAAGCACACCCGAGTTGAGGGCGACCTGAGACGGCCAACTTGCAGCGGAGTCGTTCGGACGGACTGGCAGGAATTGTAATTAAACGCTGCTTAGCGGAAGCTGATTAGGCAAATTTGATATTTATGTGCAGCCCCAACGAATTCGCAGTAGCGTCAACAAGCAGCTGCAGCTGTTCGCGGAACCCTCCGATACATGACTATATACTATATCATATATGTAAGGCGCAGCTTGAAGGGTCCAACTCCCAGTTTTCGTCGGAATAGACAAACTTTCGACTGAGTGGAATGCTCCGCAGGCCGCACTGCAATTTCATTCCGCATTCATATGCGAAACTTTGGCGCATGCTTAGCTCGCACTCGAACAAAGGCGCTTTAAATCGCCATTAAAACTCACTCACATCCAGGAGCAGGGTGGAGCGGAGCAGAGCTGAGCTAGACTGACCCACATGCCGCCTGCCACGCCCACCCATGTACGTCTCAACCAGGAGCAGGAGGGAGGCGGAGTGGGGAGGGGCTGGGCCATCAGTTGCCAGAGGAGCAGAGAGCAATATTTTGGCAACATTTTGTGTGCGCGCATTAATTTATGCAAATAGTTGGAAAATATTAATGGCGGCCAGCAGCTGTTAAGGTTACAGGGTCACAAAGGCAGCAAAGGCAGCGAAGGCAGCAAGACGAGCTGTGGAAGCAGTAAATTGAACATTCGGCGGACCGGGAGCAACAGTTCCGAGGCGGCGGCGCTGAATTAAACATTTACGCCTTTAAAAACTTGGACAATTTCCGTTACATTATGGGAATAAGGGCCAATAAGCCGCACACACCAACTTGGCCGAATCTAAGGGCAATCGACATGGACGTCGCCCAAAAGCGAGCTGCACACTCGAAAATATGTAAGCAAAGTGGAGCACAAGAAATAAACTTATGGCGCACTTCCGCAGTAGTCAAACATTTTATTTCATTTTATATGCCCCCCGTCCACCACCTCCTCCGTTGTTTGGCCGGAGTGTGTCTGCTTGTGTTTGTGTGCTTACCATCAAATATGGCCAAAGAGCAGTTCGAGAATTAAAATGAAACAAAACGGAAATGCTACAGAAATCAACCAACTGGCATAAACTTTGCGACCCGGCCCCACCCACAGCACAGTTCCATTCACTTTCAGCTTTGTTATTTCTGGCCGGCTGGCCCCGGCCAAATCAAGTAAAAAACGTTTGTTCTGTTGTAGTTGGCTGTGGAAAACGTCCATTTCCCGTGCCCAATAAAAGGACCCCGGGGCTCGCAGGACTGGTGGGCTCTCGGAGTGACGTGCTGACCACCAACGAGGCCGGCACTAATAGCTTCATTAGCTCGGATGCGCGGTAAATACTCGACTTTTGTTCCCTAACCAATTCCGGACGGCCTTTGTTCCTGGCTAAACCCACACATTGTCCAGGCGGCGAAGGCCATCCATCCATCCACTCGCCTCGATATTTTCAATCCGCAGCAGGAAACTTTTCGGCGGAACCACTCACCGCAACCGACGAGAGTCCATCGAATTGTCGAATTAGTTTTCCCGAAAAACACAATAAATGGCAGCCAAATATGCCGAAATCTATTTACTTTTATTACTGCTGCAGAACTTTTGGGGTTCGGCTGATGGCCGCACGTTCTTTGATGCAGCTGCAATGAATTGCAATATTGGTTGCCCGATAAAACAGATGGAGATGAATTTTGGGCAATGTGCGCCAGCTCTTTGTTCGCCCGAATATCAAAAGCCTCGATCTAGTTTAATTACATTTAAAATTGCTTTAAGTTCGGCAGCGAAGAAACCGAAAACCCAGTACATTTAACTATTTGTTATAAGTTATTTTCCCTCTGCCCATTTTTCAGTCCCTTTGTTCTTCCAGGCGAGTGAAGAATCATTGCTTCCCGTCCGGTCCGATATTGTATTTAAAACCCCCTGCGAATTCCGTGCGGCTCAATCGCATTGATGGGCACCGACTGGCGGTATTTATACACCAATATAGCAACAAGCACTGGATTGTGTGGAGTGCAGGTCGGTGGCGGAATATGCAGAGCCATGGCTCTATGGCTATGGCGGCCCGAATTCTGTTTATTTTGGCCCTCGCACATCAAAGTATCTGAAAAATGACATGTGCTCCACCCCGCTCCCCTCCTCGGCCGTAGCGGCTTAAAAGCTCAATGAGCGAAATTGTTTGATTTTCCCTAACATTTCATTTGGCAGCTCGCCCCGATGATTGTTGTTGCTGCTCCAAACATCGATGCTGTTTGTTTGGACGTGTGCCTGTGTGTCCTTCGTTTATTTGCATTTGATGTGAGTGTAAGCTGGCAGCCCGCTGCTTTTGTCGCTGTCATTCCAAATAATTTCGTTGGCAAGTTGGGGTCGTTGCTTTTTAATAAATACTCCAACCTTTGCCAGCCAGAATTAGCAATAAAATTCACTTTCCGAGCGCCAGCCCTGCATGTCCGCTGGTCCGCTGTTCTGTCTCACTCGCTCTTTGTGCTCGCAACTCAATTGCAGAGTACTGATAGGAAAACAAGGCAAACATATTAAAATGCCCAAATAGGGGCTTAGGCCAATACCCCCACATACCCCCACACGACGGCCTTGCTTCTCCGGCCAATATCTACTTTTGAAATGTAAAAGCAGCGCTAGCAGTAAATAATATGAGATAACGAGGCCAATAAATAAACCATGCAAAGGGTATGCCGAAATCCCTTGTGGCCAATCGATTTAAACTATAATAGCTGCGAAAATCAAAGAAACAAATAATTTTCTGAGCTCGGAATATGTTGCCTTCACAAAAATGTCTCAACGACATTTGGGACATGCCTAAACTAAATTAGTCTCGACAAGAGAAACATCCTTTTCCATTTACATATATTTTTATATTGCACAGGAAAACCTATTTTCATCGCTGATTTGAATCATAATGGGTGATTGCAGTTGTATAGTTGCTTAAGAAGCTTAAGATAAGCTAAGACGAATGAGGTTCGAGTACATAACACTTGCTATCGGTTTTATTTGCCAACCCTATTAGAAACTACTTTCTACGCTGCACAAAAAATAAAAATACAGGTTTTTTGGAATGCTCTTTGCAAAAGAAATTATCGCCCAGAGATAATAAAAAGAAATTCTTGATTTCTGATTGATTTGCCCCACAAATTTTCATTCGTGATCCTATTACTTGATGTATAGCAAATCGTTAGCACTCCTTGGTTGGCAATAGTCTTTCTTACTCACCTAATGAATCCAATTTGACAGCAACAAACTCATTCCAGACAACTGTCAAGTTCACCTGCGAATCGCAAAGAGCAGAGGGAGAAACAGAGATAATTAATAAGTGGAATATGTACAAGTTATTCAGTGCGAATAAATTTGGTTTGCGGCTGCTAAACATAATTAGCATTATCAATTGGACCCGCACGTGGCTCTCGATGTTTTCGGTTTGCTCTGACGAGGCAATTAATTTTTAATTGCTTCACTTTCCAAACATTTTAAAAGGCGAATCCGAAAAGTCCAAAAAGAATTGTTAGCGGAGGTGTCTGCGAAAAGCCACGCTAATGATGGGACGGTGCTAATTGGAGTTCAATAAAAAAAACAGCCAAAAGTGATTTCATTAGCAATGAAAATCGGGGGGAGTGTTGGCTTGGGCAAGCAGAAGTTTTTTCACCCTGACTTTTGGTTTGCTAATCCCGAGCTTCTGTGTGCTGCAAAAAGAGTAATTCCCTGTGAAAGGGTATTTTATTACGGTTCTGGGAGCAGGCGCTGATATGCCAACTTCCTCCTGACTCCGGGCTTAAATAAGAGCTTCATGAATCGTATTATGAATTCCGCTCAAGTACGAACGATAGCGAGCGAGACGGGGAAAAAATTGACAGAAGTTTCACGAATTAAAAGTTGGCCAGAGATTGATTTCATGCCGAAATCATGGCAAGAACGCAGCAAACAGAACCGAATCGCTTCGCTCTCCCAGTTGCTTGCGGAGGCCAAAATGCTTGGACACACTCGCACTTGGCCTACAGAACCTGCCGTTGGCCAAGAGAGCCCAGCGAGCAGCCGAGAATAAAGCAAAGCAACAGCCGCAGCAACCAAGTCTTGCGGCTGGGATTTGCTGGCGAGCTGCGAATGTAGGTCACCTGAATGCGTGGCTTTCAGTTTTATAACGTTACCGAAAATCTTCTCCAATCGGCAGCTCCGCTCTCTGAATCTGAACCTGTGTTTGTATCTATATCTGCATCCGTATCTGTATCTGTATCTGTTTCTGTATCTGGGCATGAGTGTCATTTCTGGATCTGCAGATGTGGCGCAAATGGGTTGTTCTCGATTTCCACTCCAGCCCCACGGGATCTCCGCACCGTTCCCATTCTCATTCTCGTTCGCAACTCCAGGTGGGGCACAGGTGGATCGGGCTGGACTTGTTTGCGGTCCCCTAAGCCGCTGCTAATTGCCGCACTCAGGGCCTCGAGAGCACGCTCTCCAAGGCGCGTCAAAATATACACTAGAAGCGACGGCCAGCGACAAAACCCCTTGAGGACGGAAGAGCCAAACAATCGAGCTGCGTGCGCCGGCTTAAGGCAGCCGATGAATGGGGAAGCAAACAAAGCGCTTTGGAAGAGGGCCGCACTCGAATATGCCAATAACCTATTGATGTGTTCGATACGCTTTTTATTGTGCCCATTGTGAGTCGATATTCTACAGCGGCAAAAATGAAAGTTGCCCGTCTGGAAAGAGATCGCGGGTGGGACTCCGGTGGGCGGGGAGTTCCGCGGCTCGGTCACGCACGAAATCAGTAGCCGCCTGTTCGGACGGCACTTGCTTTCGCGGCCAAGAGCCAGCGATCTTGGTAGCCCAGTCTCAGTCTCAGTCTCGGCCAAGACTCATCGCTCAGGTGAAAAGAAGCCGGTGCCAAAAATGCAGCATCATGCTTGGCCAAAGTGAGAGCAAACCGTCATCGGCTGATGAAGGCGGCTGTGGACAACCTACTGACACTTTGACCGATTTTTAGCACACTAAATATAGTAATTTTGTCATTATAGTTTATTATGCGCCTTTCGCGTGCCTTTCATTCATAGGCGCTGCTGTTTCAGCTTCCGTCAGAGCTCTTTCCCATTCAATTTGTGCTCGATTCGAGCTGCATTCTCGACAGCTGCGGAGCAGCCGCGGCAAAGCCATAAGTCCGCATCACGCTGTTAAAATCTACGACTGCATGCGCGAATATTGGCGATCTGATCGGATGTGTTAATTGAGACAAAACCCAATCAGTGGGAAACTTTCTGACCCATTTCTCCTGCTCTCTTTCTTTTCATTTGTTTGCGAGCCGAGGTCTCGACCGAGTTCTAGCCGCGACGGAGGAGAAAGAGCGCTGCGGTGAAACTGGTTCTTGTGCTAAGTATATGCTAATGACACTCACTTTTCGGCTATTGGTCTCTGGTATTTCGGTCAAAGTTATTAACTAAGCCGAGCTCAGACGACGACGCATCAATGGCTTTGTGCGGCGAGCCCATCTGACCGCTGCTGAATGCCACTGCAGTTGCACTCGATTATCCTATGGCCGGTCTAATGTGCCCAAATTGAGGGGCGACTCGGCAGCCAAGACCCAATTTTGTGCTTATTAGGCGTGGAATTGCACAAGCCTCGAGGCGAATGACGAGTGCCGAGTGCCGAGAGGGAAACACGCACGTTGCTCAAGCGTGTAATTGGGATGCCGACCTTAGACTCTGTGCCTCTTTGGCTGCCATAAATAGAGCATTAATTGCTGTTCCGCGCACTCGATTGCAGCGACAACATCAATGCATCACCGAGGCGTATACTTAATACTCCGAGACCAAAAGTTTGTGGCCGTAAAATGGCAAGACCAGTGGGTGGAGCTCCCCGACGAGCGCTTCAAAGTGGCCCAAAGTGGCCATGCACCCTTGTTACAAGAGTTTTACATTTCGGCAAGCTACTTTGGAGTTTTTGCCACCTCACCCCAACCCCTCCAACCATTCCCCACCCCTTTGATCAAGGGAAATGCTTCGTTTCAGCGGAGTATACTTTCCAGCACTCGCACACTTTGTGGCTTTCATGAATTTTTCCATTCTTCGGGCAAAGTGCAATAAATCATAATTTGCTACTTTTTCTAATGGATTATGGACAGTGGCAGCGGCAGCGGCATCAGTGGCAGCATACTGTTAGCATCCACTTGGAGGAGCTCTTAAGTGCTGATTGACCAGCTCATGAATGCGGTGGGAAGGTCGGGCGACGGTCCGAGCGATCGCTCAAAGGGTCAAGAAATTAATCACGCCGGATGAGCTGAGTGCTATCTCGAACGCTCATCGTGGCGAATGAAACTCTCAATTAATACTTTAAAGTCGGATGCACAACTGCGAATAATAATTTTACAATTATTAATTGTGTTTTCCATTATTTTTTTAATTGTCGTGCGCTTTTTGTCAACACAATGCAATGGCCCTGGCAATGGCAATTCAATTTGTATTTTGTGAAAGTGATTGCGTAAACCCTGATAAAGAAATGGCAAAAACGCTGAACAAATTTACTACGCATGATGAGCACTGTTATTATTAATATATTATTGCAGGCATTGAACAATTGCCGCAATGGAAAAAATATGCTATGCTTTTTCCCTAATGTGATCCGCCATAAATTGAGCCATTCAGACCATCAATTGTGTTCGATGGCGCATTGATGACGCTGTGTTGCCGCGATGAAATGCGGCTTGCGGCGATAAGTTTGTGACGAGTGCGTCAGTTGAATAAGCCGCTTAATTAGACATAATAACTCGGTTAACACAAACAACTCCCCCGAAGGTCGTTCCGACGCACCATCGTCGCTGTCAGAGATTACAAAATGAAGGGCTGTCAGATCTGTCCGTCTGTCCGTTTGTCCGTTTGTCCGTCCGCCCGCCCGTCTTTTCCAAGGGTCAAGTCTCATAATTTGGGACATAAAGAATTTATGTAGCTCAAGAGCTCGTGTTTCCCGGCCGAGAGCGGGAGAAAGGACCCGCTCTAACCAAGCATAAATTCCCGAGTGACCTATTACCCCCTGCAAACTATGACAGCCGACTGCCAAATGTGTCAAAAGTTCAAAGTCATCCGGCCGTTCCAGCGCCGAAAAAGGGTTAGCTGTCCGACATCGCAGACCGGCATAATATTAACACAGATGCGCATGAATTATTCGAGGCTCCGACTTCGGCTCCGGTTGTACTACTACGCAAATAAAATTATTGTTGGACAGAAAACAAAGGCGGGTTGCTGCGCATTCGTGATTCGTGACTGGGCCCGACTCGCTTCCCATTCTGAGCCACCAAGAAGGAGAACTTGGCACTGCACGCGACGCACTGAGGCTGTCGCTTGGTCTTCGGCCAGTCCAATATATAAATTGAATTAAAATTCCGCCGCGGCAACTGGGGCGCTGCCAGGCAAATGCGAAAAATGTTTATTAATAATTTGCACCGAACAAAGTAAAATAATTCACTCCCATGGTTTCCCAACTTTGCTGCCTGACTTGAAGTTCCCATGACGTGTGCCACAAAGCACTGAGTGTGTGCGTTAGGGCCACAAGTCATCGTCAGACGATGACGTTGATGCCACTCCAGCCCGCAGTTGCAGGTTGCTGTTGCCGGTTGCCGGTTGCCGGAGCCCCAGCCAAACTGAGCCAAGCCCAAACACACGGAAACCAACGTCAAAAACTTTCAAATGCTTTCAAATTACCCTGTGTGCCCGGCCCGAGAGTCTTGCCGCCGACAGCAGGGATTCAGCAGGGTCCCTGTTTCAGCACTATTTGGGAAAATTGTTCTGAAATAGGCAGCAGAGCGGGCGAAGGGCTGACTGAACCTGCCACCTCCATGCACCTGCCAAATAGTTGGAAAGTAGCAAGCTTTAGGCCAATCAAAATCTATATTTTCCGGAAGAACAGGTTCCTGTTAATCACGGCTACTAAGACAAGCGCGCTCTTAAATGTGAACCAATTGGGACAAATCGAAAGGGAAACCGCAGAGAAATAAATTAGTTAAATATCGAGCCAAGGCAGAAGCTCTTGTGGGCTTATTAAAGAAGCATTTTTGGTGGTTGGCAAGCGCACGAAGTCAGAGACACTTTAGTGTTTGATAAGTAAATACCCTTTCATGAAACCCTAATTCTCGGGCCCCGCGCTGTTGCGAAACTACTGAAGGGGCTTCTCGACAAAACCCAATCTCAACGAGCATCCCAAACTGATTCTGATTCGCACTGGAGCACAGACACTGGCTTGGAAGGCAAATGGAGAACTTTTGCCGCTCAACTTCGATGGCGGCAACAATTTTCTCTTTCTTAATTAAAAGCAATCTTATTTATTAGTTCAGCACACACACAAACACTCGGCAAGGAAGGGGAGCAGATAGAGATGGAGATAAAGACACTGCTGCAGATACAGATGCGGAGTCTAAGCCAAACCCATTTAGATGGCTATGTGCCGGCTCTATAATTGGCGAAAATTATTTAATTATTATTAAGTGCTGCATCCTCCGAGCGAAGCCAGGACAGCCAGTCCGCTCCAGAGGCGAGTTCTGCCGGGTACTTTGGCTGCCACTCGACTTGGCATCGGATGCGATGCAATGGGATGGGCTGGATGGCCTGACTCCGCTCCGAAGTTTTGTTTTTACTGCATCCATTTGTTTATCGTCGCTTGCGCAAACTTCTGCCGTCCGGGCTATTAATTTCAGTTGCAATTTCTTCGGGCTTCGCTCTGCTGTGCTGCTGTGCTGCAGTGCAACTGCCATAATTAGACAGAAATCTAATTTGGTAATCGCACATATGCAAAGCCAGCCGACATCGAACAATGATGATGTGCGGCCGCTGCAATTGGGATTTGGGTTTCGGGTTTCGGGTTTTGGGTTTCGGGCTTACCCTTATCCGCCGAGCTGCATGTAATTAGTTTGCGGCGCGCATTGTTGTTGACAGATGGGGCTGCTGCCACATCTGCTGCGGCACTCCGTTTGTTAACTTGATTAATTAAAATGCAGCAGCTCTTAATGGCGGTGGCGTGCTCGTTTGCCATAAGTTTGCTGTGAGCGAGCTTATCAGCTGCTTATGCAACGGCCGCGTCTCCCAGGTCTTGGCCCTCTCCCGGGGGTCCCGCCTCGTCCCGAAATATTGACTGGCGACGGATGGCTCCATTGATACCTCTTCTTCGCTCCCGGTTCTGCAGCAGCTCCCTAATAGGGCCACGTTCCAGAGGAAGTGGGTTGGAAAGTAGCGGGCAGTGAACAGGGAACAGGGAACAGCGGAACCGACTATAATTTCAGATTTGAGATTCAGTCGCAGCAGCCGATGAGTATTCTGTTGTTGCAACGCAATCTCTGGGCTGCGAAGCTGCAAACTAAGCCAGAGCCGAGAAAAAGACAAGGCAGAGCGGAGGCACAGGCAAAAGCAAAAGCAAAAGCAAAAGGCTGAGACTCGGGCTGAGCCGTGGAGTCACGCTGCTTTATTTATTTAACCGCAACAGTAACAGAAACCGCAATAAGAACAACGGCAACTGTGGATGCAACTGCAGTAACTGCACTAATCTCAGCCAGCCAGTGGCTCTTTTCTGGTGCTACTGCTGGTACTGATGCTGGTACTGGTGGCACCACCCAGCGGCAGGGCGGGTGAAATGCTGGGTAGAAAGTAACTCAAACTCGAACTCGAACCCAAACCCAAACTGTTCTCGGCGGCGGCTGTCAGCTTAAGTCTCTTCTAACCAGGCTCGAGCTCAACGGACAGATGCTGGGAATCGGGGAACGGAGAACGGAGAACGAAGAACGGAGACTGGGGACTGTGGATTGGGGATTGGGGATCGGGGAATGAGGACTGGGGATTGGGGATGGGAATCTGCTAATGCTTGCATAAATATTACACAGATTGCGGCATTGTTCGCCTGCCTCGCTGGGCTCTCAACTGTTGCTGATGTTGCTGCTGCATGTGGCAGCCATAATGCAATCGTAGGCCAGCGTCAAGTTAGTTTATGTTTGTTTTGGGTTTGGCATGCCGAGTTTTTAGTAGTTCATTAAAATCACATCGCCCCGCCCGCCCGTCCGTTACATGGACTGGGATTCCGGGTACTGGGGAAAGAGTTCTCGGCTGCGGCTCTCGGCCAAGTACATTGCCTCATGTAAACTTGACCAAATGAAGCTGAGGCATTTCAACTTGTTTCCACTTACACGTGTGTGGCGGCCAATCCCCCCTCTTAGTGTGTGTGTGTGTGTGTGTGTGGTACTCGTTTCCTCAGCACTTGTTGTTGCTCTTGCTGATGCTGTTACCGCTGCCGTTGACTTTTTATGCGCCCGTTCTGAGCGACTCCCCTATCCCTCTCCCCGACTCCCTGACTCCCTGTCCCCTGTACCTGCCCCCCTGACCGCAGCATGGCTTGCCTCGGCTGCCGTTGATGGCCAGTCCTACTCCTTAATTAAAGACGGGTTTTAATTTCACTCTTTCCGGAGCTCGTGTTTCCACAGGCCGGCCCACAATTGGCCGCTCGGATCCCATCCGATCCATTTAGCCAACTACGGCGGCCAATGCCATAAATATTAATATGCGGAATAACACTCACACACAGAACACTCTCGCTGGGATAAACAATTTAAAACTTGTAAATATTTTCGTGGTAATCCGCTTTGTCGCCACTTGGCTGTCGATGCTGTTGCAGGTGGCGATGGGGATGCAGATGGGGTGCGGGTGCGGGTGCGGATGCAGAGGCAGGAGCGGGAGCAGGAGCTCCGGGCGGTGCATCCTGAGCACCAGCAGCAAACCACCCACCCACCGCAATCCATGCCTGCTCTCAGTGTAGTTGTTTCAACAGTTTAAGCAAAGTTAATCCCGGCTGAATGCAAGGCTTACCTGTTGACGGCTCTGCTACGTGTTAGAGGGAGACGCACGGGAGCAGGACCAACAAATCCATAAACAATACGACAAGGACAGCAGTCAGTGCAGCGGGAGCAGCCGACAGGATTTTCGCGCGCACTGCATGTGAATATAAACGCGAGGACGATGCGATCCTGATTCCGAATCTGAATCTGAATCTGAATATGAATCCGAATCTGAATCTGAATCCGAACCTGGCCTGAACGTGCTACACGACGTGTCTGTGGGTTTCCCGTTCAGCGGAATTGAATTCGACTGTGATGCGTACTCTGTGTTTTGTTTTAATTCTTTCAATAACTGGCGATTTAATTAAAATCGTGCCACATTCGAGTCACGGCTCATTGCACGCACAACTTTAGCACTGTCTGTGTATACGAGTTCGTTCAGTTCGCCGGGATTGTATCCTTTGGCTTGTTTTGTTTGTTTGGCTCTGTGGTCGATTGCCTGATGGGTTTTCGGTTGGTGGTTTACTCGCTCTTCTGTCACAACGCACCAGACGCTGTAAGCGCTCGCAGTGAACTGAACGTTGGGCTGGCGCTTCCGAAAGACTTTTAAACATGTTGCCAAGAAAGTCCAAGAAGTTGGCCCGAAAGAAAAGTAGACGCTCCGAACCAAAGAGCCAGCGCACACACACACTCCCAGGCGGCCCCAAATGGTCAAGAGGCGGTGGCAGAGAGGAGAGAGCCCAGGCCGCAAGAGAGATCGCGAGCGAGTCTGCCTCAGCCGGCTGCGCATGCGCTCAAGCTTCTCGCTCTTAGCCAAGAGCACTGGGCCACGAACCGCGACGGAGGGATGAGTGCTGAGTGCTGAGTGCAACGCCACCAAGGCAGCCAGGTGGAAGTGGGTTCAGGTGTCAACCCGGCCAACAAATGATGCCACAGAATCCGGGAGCCACACAAATTAATTAAGATTACAAAAGCCAGAGAGCTTGTGCAACGCCTGCCATGCAAAAGGCGCCGACCTTTGACATCCAGCCACGAGGCCGTGCCGTGTCCCTCGCAGGCATCTTAAATATCAACAGCATTATCGGTCGTTGAGCAACGCCTGGCCTGCCCAATGGCTGGCCAATAGGTGGCCAATGCTGGCCAATTGCGAAACGAAAGCACACTCGGTGGCAGCAGCATAATTGGGCCTGGGAGAAATCTAGAACTGCAGCTGGCTACTGGCTGCTGGCTGCTGGCAACTGGCAACTGGCAACTGGCGTCTGTGGAGCACTTTCTTTGCCGTTTTCAATTTAATGCATAGTTACAGGAAGAACGCACACACTGGCTCTTAGAAAGGCACACACATCCACACAGCCACACACATTTCATGGCACCGCAACTGTGCCATGCTTATCCTGGTGGCTGCCGTCATTGTTGTTTGTACTGCTTGTGCTGCGACGACAATCAAGCCCATATGTCGGAGAGTCCGGCACGTCTCCTACGGATATAGTACAGATATAGATATACATAGATAGAGATACAGAAACAGATACAGATGGAGATGGCAGCACAGACTCTTCAACTTGGCAGACAACGTTTCGTCGGATGGAAAAACGAATGGTTGGCTTTGCTAAATTACTAGCAACTTAAGCGCATCTGCGGTAAATTCAATTAAACAATTTACCATTTCTGTTGATTTTATTTTGCCAGTGAAAATAAGCAACATTTAGCACGTTGCTGCTTCTAGTGTTGCTCTTGCTGTTTGGATGTGCAACATTTGGCCAAATGAAGTGTGAGTATGAGTGCTTGGCTGTGTGGATCTAACAATTTGGAGAGTGTCGATGTTGCCGCTTGTGCTCCGGCTTCTGCCGCTAAGGCATTTACCGAAAACATCAAGTGTTATGCAAATATTTGGGTATCAACGTTTTTTTCCCCCTCACTCCAGCTCCGGATCTGACCATTTGATTTATCGCTGTGGTTTCAGTCGCCAGAGAAATTTCTACATCATTTCGCATAGAAATTTCTCATTATCCATGGCTCTGGCACAAGCACTTTCGTATACTTTCAATTTCCTCGCTCTACCCATTTATCAGCTAATTAAAAGATGCAAGCAGCTGAACCGTGGGCAACTAGCGAGCTCAACTAATGTGTTAAATGCTAAACTAATGCCAAGTTGCATTTGCAAGTTCACTAATTACATCGGTGACAGTCCGAAAATCTTGGAAACAGAAACAAGTGGCCCGAACAAATTTAGATTGTCAACTTGGGCGTCTGACCGACGTCCTTGCGACCCACAGACGACCAGACATGCCGTCAGTTGCGAAATTCGAAGTTTTTAAGCGATTTCCACTGGCTTTGCCGCCTGTCAGGGAGCCAAACCAAAACTGAAACATTATAAGTTTTCATTTCGCTAAACGAAGCCGAAATGCTCTGCACTGAAGGTATTTTTCGGGGTTCTGTCTTGTCTGCTTGTGTTATTACCTTCCTTATCAAGAGTAGCCAAAGATATCACTTAGGGGTAAAGTACTTGCCAAAGTAATTTTTTCAACTGAACCTTCACACGCCATCCAGCAAATGGTGAGCATTGACTTAGGGCATTCTAGGAAAACCATGCCATTTGGCAATACTCAATTAATTTATCATTTATCAAGTGGTCATTGCAAAAACAGAGACGTGAAGAGTGGCGTAAACCGAACCGGCGGCACTCGCAGTCAAATATCGCGTTGTTTGAGTGTCGGCAATCGGTTGCCATCGATGACAGCAGTGCCACCAAAGTGGTTGTTGCTGTTGTGCCACTGATGGCGCGCCTTTTGCCGCTTCTAACTGGGTAGCCACCGCTGCTCGTGTGCCATGCTGTCCTGGAGGAGGTTCGGGTCTATTACATCCACCCCCAGTCACCCAGACTCACTAAAAAAACACATTGTCCCTGCCAATAAAGCTCCCTAGTCATGAAGACAAGCTTACAAATACTTCAAGTTATTTCAAGTAGTATCCATTGCTTGATGTGGTATTGCAGCTTCGGTCGGGTGGGTTTTAAAATTCCCGACTGGTTAAAGCTGCGTTAAATGCCAAACATATCTAATGCGGATTAAGTTAAGATTGACTAGACTTATTCCAAGGTCTATTTTTTTAACATAGACCCAATCCCATCAAACCTTACCCCTATTTTTTTTACGTTCATAAATATAAGCAAAAATTTAAAAACGCCTCAAAGTTGATTTTTTTCAGTGTTGGTTTGTCAGAACGGCTGGCACCTCTCGACGCTTTTGCCGGGCTCGTGAATTTTGACATTTTCAATTGTCGCTCGCTGTTCGCTGCCATTTGTTGGCGCGGCCCCGCAATCGGCACTGCTGCCGTTGTAGCTGTTGATTTTCAGTTAATTTTTCATTTTGACATTTCCATTTGTCAATAATAACATGTTGACCGGACCGTTGCCCTCAGCCCCCGCGTCTGCAACATTCGGATGGGCGATTGGTAATTGGATTTCTAGCCAAAGAGGCGTCAAGTGGAATCGCTGTTCATTTAAAATGCATTATTGATTTGGTTTGATTTCGTTTGGTCGGCAGTTCAGACTCGTACTCGGACTCGGAGTCGGCCGCACCGCACCGCACCCACGTAGGAGAGGGTCCGGGGTGACGAATCAATTACCCGTCTCGGCCCGTCCCGTTAGGTCTGGGCCCACAAAGCCGCACGCTGACGCAGCATCGATGGAAAGGGGGATAGGGGGATAGGGGGTGGGGGTGGCAGGTTCTGGGGCGGGCAAGAGCAGCTGGGTCATCGCATCCACAAACGCAGCTCCCGTGGTAATGAGATGCAGCCACGGAGCAAGACTCGGGAAGCCGCCAGCACCAGTGGCAGTCAGTTGGGTCTCACGTAAATCCGCTTACGTTAAATGCTGGTTAAACAGCAACAGGCCGCACCAGCAGCCAACTCCATCTGCGCGCTCAATGGATTTAATTTCCTGCAAGAATACGCGTTGAAGCAGAAGTGAAATGCACTCGAGCCGACGATGCTACACTCGATACTTCAATACTTCGATCCCCATGGCGACACACAACCGAGGCGCAATCCATTCCGGCTGCAGACAAATGGAGATGCTGACAGCAAGAGTCTGGATAGACAGCACAAGTGGAGTGGAGAGCTCGCCGATAATCGGGCTAACAATCTCTGCCCGAGGCAATCGCTGTTGCTGCAGCTCGTCGACTTCCTCCGCTGCAGATGATGTTCAAGATGCCACTGCCGGTGCACATGCGCCCCTCTTGTGAGCCACTGAGACGCTTCTGGAACACTAAGACCTAATGATTTCAGTATCATGTTCAGAAGTTTCACATCAATTAAGCCCCTCTACAAAATGGTTATTTAGTACACTGACATGTAAAGATAATGAGTGCTTGATGAAATAAATATACACACGAGTTATCATAATCCATAAAATATAATAATTTATTTAGTATCAAGTGGATAAATGATTAGGTATTATTATACTGGATTATTTGAAAGAATTGAAATATATATTTAAAGGTATTCCCTGTCTAATACCAATACTCTTTTGAGCCACTGAAACGCGTCTAGAGCACCTTGTAATTTGAGTTCAATGTTCAGATGTTTCACATCAATGAAAACCTGTTACAAAATGATTATTTGGTACACTGATATGTTATGATAATAGGTGATTGTCGAAAATTCAGACGTCTGGCATAAAGTAAAACCTGTTTCAAAATGGTCTTTAAGTTCACTAATTACAACGAGTTCTTTTTGAGGTTTATAAAACACTATTTGATATGATACAAATATAAATATATATACGGATATAAATATACTTCGAGTACAGAATGATGTTGTTGGAAGCCACCAATTTAATAACTTTTTTAATAGCACTTTTGCGATCCCCAACTTATTAGCTCCCGTTAAATAAAACGCAGTTACCATGCAAGTTTCGACGCTCATCTTAAACTTATAAGTACGATGTCATCTGACTTGCAGGGAAATAACTCAGTCCAGTCAAGAGTTACAAGTTCTATAAACCGACGTTGTTCTGAGTGTGGCTGCTGACTCTGCGGTCTGCATAACGAAATAACAGTTAAATAAGCAAAAGTTTCCATCTGTCCCGCTGAACCTGAGCCTCGATTTCTTTGAAAACCCGACTAAAAGCCCCTGGCCCCTCTGCTTCTGGCCAATAGACCGAGATTCAGATGCAGACACCACGCGAGCACGCATTTTACCGTTTCAGTTTGAGAATGGAGTGTTGCGTGTTTGGGCCTGGGCCCCAAACATTTCGGATGGTGTTTGCACAGAGAAAAAATATAATTTCCAGAAATGTTGTACTCATAAACCCATAAAGAGCCCCGATGCCACATTTAAGTTAGTTGGTGCAGCTTGAGTTTCTGTGCAACCCTAAAATGGTAAATTTGACATATAAGCGATGTGTTGCCATTCGAAATGACATAAGCTTAAGCAAAGTTGAGCTTGTAAAAGAAGTTTTGTTGGCAGAACAGTGCATTTTTTTGTTTGTGTGCCTGGTTTGTCCGTTGTCTGTTGATGCTGTTGGAGCTTTTCTGGCTACATGTTTAACCGCAATCTCCTGAATGCAGCAGAACAGAATGCTAAAAG